TAAGTGCTCATCCAGAAATCATTAGAAGGAAGACAGGAAACAATTAAAAACAACAAAATCAAAGTTCAAGGATTCAACCAAAATCAAAGAGCTACTATATCGATATGAAAAGGAGGATTCCAATTTAACCCTCCATTACCTTGCCAAGGTGATGCAGAAGACTGAGGAATTCAGAAGTAGTAACTTTAAGTGCTTGTCCAGAAATCATAAGGCAGGCAGGAAATGATTAAAAATAACAAAATCAGAGTTCAAGGGTTCAGCCAAAAATCAAGGGGATACTATGTGATCATTAACAACGGTAATCATTGACATGATTCCGATTTAACACTCCATTAGCTTGCCAAGGTGATGCAAAAGACCAGAAGATATTTAAAACTAACAGTCAAGTGATTGTCCAGAAATCATTACAAGGAATGCAGGAAACAATTAAAAACAGCAAAATCAAAGTTCAAGGGTTCAACCAAAAATCAAGGAGCTACTACGCGACCATAAACAACGTTAAGCATTGATATGAAAAAGAGAGACATGATTCCAATTTAACGCCCCGTTAGCTTGCCAAGATGATGCATAAAACTAGAAAGTAGATTTAAAGCTAACAACTAAGTGCTTGGCCAGAAATGGTTGCTGCAAAATTTAGACAGAAATAAAGCATACGGGAAAGAGAATCTCATCTCAAAATCCAAAAGCTCAAATTAAGTAGCACGACAAAGCAATGAATTTAGATTATAATCTAACTGCAAGCTGCTAAAATCTAGCAATATTTTCAATCCAAACCAAATAAAAAAAGAGTAGAATCTTTAGATTAGAAAGGTAGCAACTTGCTGCCACTCACAGCTGATTAAAGAGAGGGGGGAAAGGAATCATACCCTTTTGATCTTGAAGCGAGACAAACGAAAGGAACACGAAGGGTTGTTGGCGGGTTTCCCGTGCCTTGCCGGTTAAAATAGAAGGTTAAAAAACGAAATGGCGGGTAAATTTCAAGAGCAATATCAGTCGTGTCAATTTCAACATAAATACAATGCCTACTTTTTTTAGTCTTAAATATATACCATGAGAAAACAAAATTCAAAAATTCAAAAAATTAGTTTTTCTAGTTTGACTCGTCTTGAAAAAAAAGTTAACTCGAATAATTTTACTCATAATTTTATAAACTCGATTTAATTTAAAAGAAATTTAAATTCGACTCGAATTATAAAATAAAACTTGAATAACCCGAATAACTCGAGATTTTTAATAATTACTGAATTGATTTTTCAAATTTGAGTTGAGTCTCTTAATTTTGTATGATATATGTACATCACATTAAAAAATTATATATGTTTTATATATGGTTATAGAAAACCGTTTAATTTTGAATCAGATAGTATCTTATATTATAAATATTTATAATTAAATTTAAATAAAAACTCGAACAACTCAACTTGGATTTTATAAACTCCACTCGAAAAATTTCAAATAAAATTTGAGTTACAAAATAAGATTTTTCAACTCAAATAACTCAATTTTTTAACTCAACTTAATCAAACACTCACTCACATACAATTCTAACTCAAATCAATTTATATCAGTTTACCAAACTGGGTGAATTTTTTACATCCCTAACACTCAAACCTAATATACACCCTCAAATTGCACCTTTAAATCAATTAAATTTTACTTTAATCATAGATCACTTGAATTTTTATTTTAAAAAATTATGATTAATTAAATTTCTGTAATTATAAAAAATTATATTAACGATTATTAAATTATATATAAACCCCGCAAAATGTTTTCGTGTGTAAAATTTTAAATTGTAAAGAAAGAAAAGAAAATAGCATTGTGTGATGTCATGTAAATTCTTGTAAATCTCGGCTTAGGGCTTAGGGCTAGACGTGGATCAACATATTGTGCAGGGATCAATTCTGATATTATAAGATTTTAAACGAAGCTTCATATTAAAAGATTTAGTAAAGTATAGGGATAAGTTCTGATATTATACCCAAAAAGAAAAGCTACATCCCCACATTGTCCCCATGATATTGGGCTTAGGGCTCGATGTGGATCAACATATTGTGCAGTCCATCTGCTCCAATGCCTTAAATTCAATCTCCCAGTACACAAGTTCATAGGGAATCTGCAATTTCAAAGTGCAACAAGGAAATAGAACAAGAATTATTTCTGGGTTTTGGAAGATGGAAGTAGTAGATCATAAAACGCATAACTTGGAGAATGGACAAGCAGCTGAAGAAGAAGAAGAAGTAGCTGAGAATGCAAATGTTTTACAATTTATGGATTCCATGGAAGCTTATATCACCCTCACTCATTCTTTATCTTCCTTACTTCGCCAGGTAAAAAAAATTCTTTCCTTTTTATCCTATGTAATCTTTATTTTCGTTTCTGAATTTTGTTTTATGATACTCGATTGGACCAATGAATGATGAAATTTCAACTTGATTTGGGTATATAATTAAATCTCAGTTAGGTTTATTACCAATACCAAGTGAATAAAAAAAACAACGAATCGATCGAAGCGTCACCTTTGAATCTTGTATGTCTTGTCTACTTGTATGTAGTCCTTGTTGTTTGTCGACAGCATTGATCTTGTTGTGTTTTTTTCCTTCTTTCTTCTTTTTTGGTTTTAATAAGTGAAAAACCAAATACAGGGATGGCTGGAACTAGCGAGTGCTCGACATTCCATGGGTGCTTATCGTGTGAATACTGTCTTGTTAGACCATACATCTCATCCTGCTGCTACATCATTGTTTGTAGATGAGGGAAAAGGTAGTTATCAGCTTTATCTACCGAACTAATCGAATTCGGATTTAAATTTTGTTTGGAAGAGTGATTTAAGCTGCCTTTGCGAACTAGACTGGAGAAGGTTATATTTTAGCACTGAATTCTCATTCGTATTGTGCCATTAATCATAGGGTTTATTAGTTCTCTATCTTTTTGCTATAAGGAATTTATTCATGATCTGTAATAGTTGACTCTGCAGAACCGCACTTTACGTTATGTAAATGGGGATCTTCTGGTAATGAGAAGTTGTTGGGAGAGGAACAATCTAGCCAGGGCAAATCACATCCACAGCTACGACACAGGGGCGCTACCCAGCTTTCTGGTATGTTTTTCACCCTCTATATTGAAGTTCACTCATTTTGGCTGTCAACGAGCACACCACAGAGACCTACAACGTAATGAAAACTGAAACTATTTGCAAAAAAAGGATTTTGGAACTATTGTTGTTAGGCTAATTCTTGGGTAGTTTTATGCTGAAACCAAATGATGGGTTTCGTAATTGCAAACCATAACTGCTTCTTAATGGTTTGGTATGGTTTCTCACATTCCCCTTCTGTTTGTGTTTAGAGGAGAAGACCTTGTTGGAGAATAAAGCTTCGTGTGAAATTGATGACCAAGTAAGTATCCTACCACTCTTATAGAGCTTGTTTATGGTTTTGATTTCTTTTAAAACGTAGAACTGGGGAATGCCTTTGGATTATGTTGTCTTTTTCTCACTCTCACGCCATTGTTGTTGTTGTTTTGCATTTGATTTGAGTTTTAAAATTAGAGAATGCTTATCTTTGTTATTTGAGAGTGGCAGTGAAACATCTCTTTTAGTTTGTTTCCAGGGCTAACTAGAAAGACCTTTTTCTTTTATATATCTGTCAAGGAAGCTTAGCCATGAAAGATTTTCATGTTGAATTTGATTGTTTACAAGTAGTAAATTTGGACAAAAGAAACAATTACTTGGATTCATTTCGGAAAACTTTCTGTCTCCGGTTTAGGTTCAAAAGGAGAGGTCTAAATCACTGTCAGTATTTGGAACTCTAGTTTCTCCAAAGCTTCGAGCCGCCCAGCTATCATTTGAAACAGGTACACACTCAACTCAATACTTTCGAACACAGTTGGTACAAGATGAAAGTCCCCTTACAAGTTATATCATACTATTGCAGCACTAGATAGAATTGTAGAGATAGCAAACATGCGCTCGGAAATGCTCTGTGCTTTCAGTAGACTCAACAAGAAATCTGGAGGCAGTAAGGATGAAAAATAGTTGCTTCATTCCAGTAACTCTGCACAATGCATACCTCTATTTATGTTATCCCTCGTATGCTTTTCCTTTTCTCTTCTGAACTTAACAACTCGGACATACACGTTGATATTCCAAAAGAGAGAAGAAGAAGAGATGTATGTATAGTTCTGAGGTGAATGTACTCATAACATAATTTAATTTTATGCTTGTTACATTTATATCTTGTAGAGACTTTGGAGAATCCCTTGCTGAAGTATTTGGTTTACATGAAATGCATTCTTGATTTAAGTTTTTCTGTCAATCTATCTATTAAATGTCATTTCAGATATTGCTTGAATCAAAATTTAAACAATAAATGCTATATGTTATAATGATATAATCTGTTTTTTTAAACATGTCACATGCAATGTTTATACACCTTTTAAAATTTAATCTATATGATGGAGCATTAGTTTATTTAAGGTTTGTAATTTATATAATAAAAATTAGTCCATACATTTTCATCAATTCGAATTAACATTTAATACTCATGCAAATAGTTAGATTGGCATTGGCGGAAGAGCTTTATTGATACAATATTGATGGTTAGAGGGTTCAGTTGAAACATTTTGAAGTTTGAGAACTAATTTTTAAATTCTGCAAAATATGAGGATGCCAAGCGCAATTCACCCTGAAATTATATTCCACAAATACAATAGATTATTACTGCAGAACAGGCCTTGATTATCTACAACTCAAGGCAGCCGATATAGAAAAATTAGGGTTTTTCATTATTTTCCAATCACTATTCTGGCATGCCAAGCTGCCAAAAAATGTCGCCATATAAAAGAAGGAATACAGGCACAACTTTACAACAATCCAATTCCATGCTCTGCACAAATATGTAAACACAACAGTGCATAGCAAAAGGTAGCCAACCAAACAAAAACAGGAAATGAATAGAAGAGCCCGCGTGAAAATTACTTCTCTTTGTCTTTAGGATTATAGGCTAGAAAGCGCGCCAATTATCGGAATCTTTCTTCGGACTATGTTGGTCCGATGACACTTTAAATGGGCCACTGGAGCCAAACGGGTCGGAGTCATCGAATGAGAATCCATGGCTGAAGTCTTTGCTGCTATTTATGGAATCGAACCTAGTGATTGTCTCGGGTTGCCGTGAAAATCCGCTGCCAAAGTCTTTGCTACTGTCTATGGAGTCGAACCTCGTGAGCCTATCAGGTTGCGCTGAAAATCCACCATCATTCATGCTGAAGGAATCAAACCTCGAGAAACTGTCAAAATCCCTTGATGTCTCACTGAACCTTGATGGAGAGTTCCCAAATTTGGAGGCCGGAGTGCTGGGAACCGAGTCTTCAAATGTAAATGGACTCTTCTTATCATAAAAGCTATCCGCAGGAAGGGATTCCGTTCTTGTGTGTACACCAAAATCACTTGATCCGAAAAAGTCTCTGTGTTCCGAGTCCAAGTCCTGCCACGTGACATTAAAGATCAAGAATCAATACATTTCAATAAGTCAGACCGAGAAAGGATCATAATGAGCACACCAAAATATTTTAAACATATAAGAATCAGATTTTGTTGAGGATAAGCTAGGTAAAGCAGCCAGGTTTCTGCCTTGTGACAGAGCTATGAGAACAAGGTTACGGCCATGTTACATCTTGAGTCTTGACATAAAACTTAACAAAATATTGAAAGTTAAAGACATCTATAGAGTTCAGACAAACCAACAAAATATTCCAAACTATATATTATTTTTACCCCATTGCCACCATACATTGTATATGCCATTTGATTCAGCATTTTACATAATTGGCAAATCTACCATATCCTTGTAACCTAAAGAACAAAGTGTGCTTTAAGAAGTTCAGGGCCACCTTGGTGTTAACAGAATTAAATCCCCACACAGAGTCCGTATCATCATTATCGAAGGTCCCCCATCCCGATTCATCAAAACTTCTGTGAAGAAAAAAAAAGATAAAGTTAGCAAGAACAAAAAACAAAAGTAGTCAACTACAAACTTAAAAGTTTTATACATCCATACCGATGTCTTTCTGAATCTGCTTCAGTACTCTTTCCAAAATGGTCATCAGAAAATTGTCGAGATGGACTTTCTAGAGAGGTTCTTTCCGCAGGACTACCATGAGGACTTCCGGCGGATTCATCTTCACTGTGTGCATATGCAGACTCGCTCTCAAAGGCACGTTCAGCACTGAAGAGATTCCCAGTTTTTCCATTCAGATAGGAGGAATCAGGGGTCAAGCTACCATTTGGGGATGCTTTTCCTCTCTGAGAGTCGGACACATTTTTCACATCCACGGTGAGCTCATTTCCAAATCCTGAAATTTGAAATGAAAAGCCGCATAAAATTGTCCCACTCTTCGTCTTCACTGTGTGCATATGCATAACTTGATTTGCAGAATCCTAAAACAGTAAAGGAAGTACCTTCATCTTCAAACTTGTCCCACTCTTCGTCCCAGAGTGCTGCTCCCTCTGGTACTCCAGGTTGCCAACCTTAAAAAGACATTGCATATGAAACAAAAACAAAGACAAACAAAAAACTGAAGGATCATTCCATACAAAAACAAAGATAATAGTTATAACAATTAACGAACATCCAAGTCACTTTCCTTCTACTAAAGTGACTAAAAGGGTTCTTAAAGAACGAAAACAAAAATGAAATGAAACTGCGGTTCCATGCCAAAAGAGATCTAAACAGACATTACCAAGCCAAATAACAGCATAGAGCAGCCCAAAATAAAGAAGTTTAGGTTATAAAGTTCTGAAAGGTATAAATGAGGTGACCCATCCTTTGCCACCCGTTTTTATTGCCACTTTTCAACCAAACACATGTTTCGAGAAGTCAAAAGGAAAAGGAGTAACATGGAAAGCAGTGTTAAATTGCTTGTTTAATAGATCCTCTTTCTGTCAACTAATTATGAGGAAGGTTGGTTTGAGAAGTTTTAAGACCGAAATAATTTGACTTTTCCAACAGTAACATTTCAATTAAGACAGCTTAAAATAGAAAAGCAAAAAATCATAGGACAGAGTCATAGGGGGAGCCATCAGGTGTAGTCCACAGCCCATAGACATAACCATGGAAATCAGTAATATAGATTGCCAAACACAACCATAGATGTGCTCCAATAAAATAATACTCCACAGCATTACCAAGCTAAATAACTTTTGAAAGGAAGCATAGAACTTAAATAGGGTTCGACCCTCAAGAAGTTGGATCAGAAAGTAAAATGAAAAGAACAGCAAACATGATGGTAAGAATATCATACTACAATACATGTCTTTACTCGATGAAAGTTGTGAGGAAGAACTTTCTTTATTAATGAAGGATAAAAAGTACCTATGGGAAGCTCAATTACTGCAGCTGACTTGACATCATATCCATGTTTCTTGCTTCGTTCGGTCAGGGCTTTCATTAGCTCCTCAAGATCCGATTGTATGCGGTCAGCACGGACCTAGGTAAGTGATGATGCCTCAGTGTCAGAACATTTTATTCATTCACAAAACATTTAGTTGACCGGTTTAAATTACCTGAAGAATACCATCTGCACTTCCCCCTTGTTCCATGTTAACAATAGCCTGATGCAATTCTGTCTTCCTCTCCTAAAAACAAGAAAATTACAAAAAATGGTGAAATAAAGAAAAAGGGGCCTGAAAGGGATATGAAGACCTACATACTACATGATAACATGTGGCTAGTAAGCAAAATGTTGTAGCCATAGGCCAATTTAAGGAAATAATGGAAGCACATACTAGATTAATATGCAGAGATATAATTTTAGGATGGAAATAAGGAAAAAAACACGAGAACAAAGACTCAGACATATGAAACAAAGCTTAAAGATCAATAAGTCATCTCCTCTTATCCCAAAAAAAAAAGATGATGCCTTGACAGACACTCAGGAATTGAGAAGAGGATATCAACATCTAGATATTTCAATCCAGGAAGATTCATGTGAAGAAACCCATTGTAATACAAACTGTTAAACCAATATACAACGGCTCAAATAGCCCAAACCAACTCAAGGTCATTCACGCATAGAAGAAAAAGTGATGATTACCTGAACCTCACGAAATTTTGCCTCTTCAATTGTTAATTTCGAAGCTATTTCTGCAACTTGTTTGTATCTCTCTTCATATTTCTTTGCCAACATTTCAGCCTGCAACACAACTTGTTAGCCAGAAATCAATAAAACTGTGTCCAAATAAATGACATAAACACTTCTTCACATTTTAGGCAGTACCTCACGCTTATCTGCAATTGCCCTTTCCGTGATTTCGTTTAGTCTATTATCACATCTGCTTTTATACATGACCTGAACATAGGAACAACGGAAGTGGTATAAAAAATGGTTGAATTTTGAAGTTCCAAAATTTCCCAGCCTTGGCATACAATTCAACTAACCAATTAAATTAGTAAAAGAACCAGCATTCAGGCTTTGCATTTAAATCTTAATGAGAACAATGTTGAATTACTAATACAATGCTTTCAGTAGGCTGAAACAACCTAAAAAGGATATCATGCACACACATACAATAGTCGTTCTAGTTCTTGATTCTATAACCAAGATGAGGAGCTTGACTACAGGTTTAATAAAAATGAGAAACCCCCCCCCCCCGCCGGGCACAAGTGTCTCCAAAGTGAAATAGAAAATACTCACAAGTTCCTGCATTTTCTCACGGTAGAACTCAAGCTTCTCTCTGGAATCCAAAATCACTTTTTCAGTTCCACTAGCCTGCCAAATTTCAAATAATTATGCTCCTCATTATCCTTCAGGAACGAATAAAAAACATCAAAAGGCTAGCTTAAAAAATATTTTCATAAGTGTTAATAAAACACTCGAAACTCTCACCAAACCTATGGAAGAATGGAAAGGAACAACTGAAGTGGGTACATGCCCACATGTGTGTGTAGTGCTAGTGTTTGTGTGTGTGAGAGAGAGAGTATTTGAGCATTATCTAGAAATGTCATGCCTTGTCTCCATTAGCAATTACATCTTGGCTGTTCGATTCTCTGAATTCTGTTCATTGTTATCAACTTGAGTTCCAAAGGAGTCATCCAAAACAGGTGCTCTTGGCTTTTGTTGGTTGGACATTGTAGTAGTATCAGCAGAAGCATTGGGAAGAATTGGAGGCTTTAAACCAGCTGAGTGAGTAATCGGCTGTGCACCTATCCCTGGCTGAGCACTCATCCCAGGCTGGGCACCCATCCCTGGCTGAGCACCCATTCCTGGCTGGGCACCCATCCCTGGCTGGGCACCCATTCGCTTCCTGGCTGGGCACCCCTGGCTGGGCACCCATCCCTGGCTGGGCACCCATTCCTGGCTGGGCCCCCGTTCCAGGCTGCTGTCCGAAACCTAATGGCAATAGTCATTTTCATCAAGATGATTCTTGGGTGACAACAATGGGAACTAAAAAAATTAAAGTTATTATAAGAGATCCAAACTAATACCAGGATTAGGACCCCAAGCTGGATTTCCATATGAAACGTTGGGTTGGCCTGTCATGGACAAGAGTGTCTCATCAAACATAACATTTCTAGGGAGTGCAGATGGAAGAGGACAGCCTTCCCTATACCGCTCCATCAAATAGAGAGCAAAGCAGAACTCTCTCAAAGAAAGCATACTATCACTATCCTGATCAGATAAGTCCCAAACCTGCTTCAAAACCTCTGAGAAAGACAAAATAACAAAGTTAAACATGTTTACCTGATTAACAAAGACTGCATTCCAGCAGGACCAACCATGGAAATATTTCAAAGAAACACTGCACTGATAGAACTTCTCCAGCAAGGTTCACGCCAAAATATTTTAGTCAAAACAAGGATTTATGGAATGTTACCATCTAAAAAAAACCTAGGTAACATCAGTTTACCACCCTAGCAGCAAAATGTATTTTTATTACCCAAAATCTACAAGAATAAATCTTAATAACCAGCATAATTAAAAACAAACATTTATCGATATAACTCCAAATGATAATGATAATATTCACACAAATTGTCTGAAAAAAAGGCATCAGACCATGAGCATAAATAACAAAATATATATTTTGGGCTTTTAGCATCTGACGACAGGGAATTCCTAACACTATTTCTAATGCATAAGAAATCACCATTCATGTTACACAAGCTAAACAGATAAAACCATCTATGTCATACATCACATTCATATCTCAGAAAATAATTTGAATAAAAACATATGAAGTAACCATACCCTAGGTAGCCTCCAACTCAAAAATAGATTCCTCGCCTGCTCGCCAGTTATTTTCCCATCTCTGTCAGTGTCCACTTCTATGAACACTTTGTATATTTTCTGAACATCAGATGGTTTCATTTTTGCCATGGAGGTTGGGAACTGCTCGAAGCAGCATTCCCAGTTCGACAGAGATCCCAGATGGTGTAATAGAGGAGGAACTTTGGGACGAAGCTTGTTGGCCTGGGATTAAAGAAGGGTATGGCCTTTGACTTTGACTACCAGCAGAAGGCACAAACAATGTACTTTGCAATGAGTCAAGAGAGTTGGACTTAACTAATGGTTGGGGTACACTTGAAACTGGTCTAATCCCTGATGAGGTGGGTGCACTGTGAGGAGAAAAGGTTGTGTGATAATTCTTGTTTTGACATAAATGAGGCTGCAGAAATTCATCACCTCCAAATGTGGTGTTAGAAGGAGCCCATTTCCAGAACAACCAATGCTTTAGAATCATTAGCAGTAGGCTGGGAAGGCAAGGAAACTGCTGTTTGAAGCTTTGGTTCTGGGTGGAGTGAACCCTCCTGGGCCAGTTGAAGCTCCACCAGTCTTTCCAGCAAGCAATTGCTTGACATATTTTGATTTGTGAAATCAGGACCAGTAGCAGCAGTGGGCATAGATTGATGTGAAAGAGAAATAGAACCAGCGGGCATAGCTTGAGGTTGACCGCCTGTACTACCTCCCCTAGAAAACTCCGGAGCTGCAATACCTTGAGGATGCAGGGCAGTAGCAGCAGGCATGGTCTGCGGGGGTCTCATTGACAGGTTTTGTTGAGAAGGGAAATGCTGCTGGCCCATACCAGCATTTGGAGCTCCTGGTCCTCTGAACCCAGGACTTGAAGAGGATGCTGGCATAGCTGCACCTGTCTGTGGAGCGGATATGGAAGGAAAATTAATCTGTGGCGCTGGAATTTTTGCTGCAGCAGGACCATACAATGCTGCCTTGACAATGTCTGGTGTTAATTCGCGCCTTTGTGCTACAGTCACAAGCTTGAGAGCATTAAAAACTCTGGCTTACTTAGGGAACCACTGTGGCTTTGATCAGCATTGTCCATATCTGAAATCATAGGATAAAACAATATGAATGAGCCCATAATATTAAACTCCTTGCTCGAATAAATTAATTCAAAAAAGAGGGTAGAGGGCACAAATCACTGTAGAGCAGTATAACAAGTTATGTGTACTAACACAAATCAGAAATCAAAATTTCCAGTCCCTAAACTATGCCATTTACTGTGTGAAAACCCATCATTGACCACCAAATGCTACAGAAAGTACAGCAAGGCTGAAGCATTACATCTGTTGTTTCATCAGAATTAAAAACAATTCTTCATTTTTTTCTATTCTATCAAACTATAGATGTACTGATCTACAAACCACCGACTTGTAGCCTCTCCTTTCTTGTATGCAAGTTTTGTTTAACAGGCAGTACATCAATAAATTCTAGAACAAACTGACCGCCACTGGTTCAGCAGCTAACAAAGGAAAGTAAACATTTAAAGCATCCATAAGAAACATAGTCACAAAACAATTAGAAAAAGTTTCTATTACTGCCAATTGCAACTTCAGCCTGCAAGACATGTATCTCAGTACAATAAAGGCTTATTAAAGACATCCTTGTAAAAAAAGAAGACGGCAATCAAAACCTTAACTATTCGATAAATTATTGACGTAGTACAAGGAACAAAATCCACATAAGCAATCGACAAGTAGGCCAAGAGAAATATGAAGAAACAGACTGATAATTGTACAAGAGAAAAACAACTGCAAAATGTTTAGGCTTATTGAGAAATTTCACCATGTTACAATCAAATGCAATCTAACCTAAATTCCAAAAACGGCAAGTTCCCAGAAGTCCCGATTCTAATAGGAAATGAAACGTGAGAGAGAGAGAGAGAGAGAGGTAAAGGTAAAGGGACCTGAGCGAGGACTTGTTTGGACAAACCGGATCCTTGAAAGAAGCAACAGCCTCAGCTCCACTAATTCTGCCATCTCCATCTAAATCTGCTTCCTGAAGTAAGATTCGAATTGATCCTGATTTTGCCCCGCCATCTCAACGCCCCAAAACAAAGAATCGAAGCAGATTCCGAACTAATCGGATAACTCTCCCAGGTCAGGCTAGAACAATAAAATCCACCAGATCACAAACTCGAGTACACGGGGGAACGCAACATGTTCCAAAAATAGAAAATACAATTCGAACCCAAAATTCAAAAGTGTACAGAATCAAACGGGGAGTGAAGATGAAATGGGATTTAGGGTGTTTCGGTGGTTAGATCGAGGAGAGGTGAGGAAATAGAAACGAGAGATGAAGCAGAGGAGAAAAAGAGATTCAAAAACGATCGCTGGCTAAATTATTAAGAAATGGGTGAAGTAGGAGAGACAATCAGAGATGATGTGGGCTTGGTGGGCTGTTTCTAGAATCGCCATGAACATCAGATCGTGAACCAGTTTTAGATTCTATTTTATCGTAGTTTTGCATTAGCCCAAAACCCAAAGTGCAAATTTTCTTGGATCGTACAGAGTAAAGTACATTACTTTGCACATGAAATTCCCATTGGCTTTATTTGCCACTTGCCTGCCGCGGTCAGCAGAGAATCCTCCAACCAAAGGCTTGCTTATTTTATTATTTTTTATTTTAAATGTCATTATTTTACTTTTATATATATTTTTCAAACTTATAAACTTATAACAACCTAAATATTTCTAAAAATTAAAGATAAACTACACAATCCATTATTTTTCTTTGATTTTAATCACTCAACTTTCAAAGATTATATTTTTATCACTTATATTATCATTAGTTATAAATAATCACTCAAACATTAATTTTTGTTGTATTAATGACGTAACAAGCTAACAAAAATAATTAAATATTAATTAATATTAAACTTCAGCTAAAAAAAATTTAGTAAAGAAAACATCCCATCATCATCTTCAAACAAATCTTTCTTATTATGTTTTCTCGGTTTAATTTTTTATCAAAAAATAAAACTTTTCAAAATTGTAAATCAACTCTCGAACTTCTAAATGTATCTTCATCCGATCTCTATCATCTACCATCATATGACCACCAAAATAAATTATATTATTCATCTTGTCAAATTTTCCATGAGAATTCGTTACCAAAGCCCTAAATAAAATTCAATAAGTATTTTCTTTTTTATCTTTGGTTGGGTATTGCCACTTGGTTTGAGTTTTTGAATGATGGTTATTGATGGTATTACCTCAGTAACAACAATATTGAACAACAATGAATGAAAAATGATAATGATGGTAAGGAAATTTTATGGTTATGCTAGTGGGATAATGGATGATGTAAGGATTATGATGATGGATTAAGTGTTTGTTGTGAACATCAATTATCGGTGAAGGTCGATGCAATGAGAGAAATCGAAGCTGGTTGCACTGAGAGATATGGTCCTTTGCAGCTACTACGATTTAGAGATTTTAATACTTCGTCTTCAGTAATATCAAAAGTTCGAATCCTAACATTTAAGAATGGGCAAACTAAATTAGAAGGATCACCATCACCTCTATATACTTAATTTAAATTAGTCGATTAATAAATCAGATACTAATGATTATACCAAAAAAATAATTTTTTCAGCTAATGGTGTTAACGGGGAGGGGTTGATGGTGGTTATGTATGGTAGTGGTTAATTTGATGACAGTGTGAAAGGTCGTGTACGACGGTGAATGACGTAAGGTTTAACTAAAAGAAATATATGATTAAATGAATACGAGTCTTAACTATTACTAAATTCATTATTATAATTAAAGTTCAGGGATCAAATTAAAATTAATATTTTTTTAATATGCCACGTCTTTAATGTAACGAGGATTAACATTTGATTGCCCATTTTTAAATTAACCACCTACATAAAATGACTAAATATAACATCTTAAAATTAAATAATCAAATAAAAAAAACTTATGGTTTGTACAATTTACCAACAATAAGGGTGTGTTTGGTTCGCAGAATGTAAGATTACCAGTGGAAATAAAGATTATCCGGTAATAGGATTACTGTGAATGTTGTATTTTGTGTTTGGTTGGTTTAGTATGAATGTAAGATTATGTTTGGTTAAAGGAATAAAAGATTATTAGAATGTATATTTGATCAAATTGTCCTTATTATATATTTGTATAATATTACAAGTTGGAAAATATTTATATGTTTTCTTTAAAAAAAATTAAATTCATAAAATTTATATATTTTTTTTACAAAATTAAAAATATAAAAAATGTTTAATGAAATGGTAAAATTTTATTTTAACCCCTGAACTTCATATAAAATTTTAATTATAGACTTTTTTTTTGTAAATTTAAAATAGTTTAAGGATAAATTGTAATGAAAATTAAGGGCATTTTAGTCTAAAATGCCGGTAATGTTACAATACCTAAGGGAATGGAGGTAATGACATTCCCGGTAATATACCCCAAAAAATCCACTATTGGTAATAAAACATTACCGGGAATGACATTCTCGGCCAAACCAAACGGGGAATGTGGATTCCATTCCCAGGAGAATCACATATTCCCAATCCAAACGGCCCCTAAGTATCCAACAACGCCCTAAAATATTGATTCAATAATATTAGAATAAATTCCCATAACAGGATTGGCCTATAAGGACTTCACAAGAAGTTTACTTACCGATAATAATTCGATATTATAGTAAAATTTAATTAATTTATATCTCAAATTTTTTCCCGAATTTTCTTGGATCTACTCTTATGCCTTATGTGGAGATTATGTGACCAAGGAAATCAACTTCGGCTAACCAAAATTCACACTTTGACAATTTAGCATACAACTTCTTCTCGCGAAGTATTTGAAGAACTGGCAACATCGCGTCCAGTTCAAGGGGAAGGCATTCCTCTGCCAATTTCTTTGACCTAAATATGGAGATGTTCTCGACGCAACAATCTGTGCAGTTTCCATTTGACACGACGGCTTCAAGCTCCAGGGGATGTATTCTACTGAGATCTCAATGTCGATATATCAAACTCGTACTCTTACTATTATACATAGTTATTCCCTTGTTTCAAACTTAAACGGGGTTCCACGATCGAGGCATCGCTGCCTCCGCAGACGTATCAAAGACTCGGGCTTGGGCCGACACCACGATCCGCGTCGGTCCACGCCCTGAGCCGATCGGCGGACCGGCTGTTGCCGTTTCACATCCGACCGGGGCGCATCGCCGGCTATGATTCAGGTGGGAGTGAAGGGTTCAACAGGAACAATAAAAACTTGTCGCCTACACGACTTTGTTGTTGTCCATTGTTTGAAATGTATTTCGTTAGATGAAAGGAGAACAACTACACTAAGCAATTGGAGAGCGCTGTAGATTTCCATGGTTATCCTCGATTAGAAAAGCTTCAGCTAAATTTCAACATTGAATTCTCATAATTGAAAATTTTCACTTCGATGTCTCATAATTCCCAAAACTTGCAAAATAGTCATTTTACTATCTCATGGTTCCAAATTAATCCAAATCAACTTTCAAAGCATGTAGAACTCATATCAAAGTCAATATCTATAAATAACCTGTAAATAAGCAATTCATTTATATAAGATTTCAATGCCAAATCAAAGTTCTCAATAATAGCATCCAAAGAATCTATGTAACACACTATTTGCTTTTCCATACCAGTTATAGAATCATTTGAAAGAGGTTCGGCTTAAAAGTTTAGTTTAAGCATGTTTAGTAGATTTTCATGGTACCACCGGATTCCATTTTCTTGATCTGTATCTCGGACCATGAATCCATGCTAACGGAACGGACGAATGAGATACCTCGTCCAAATTAAGGGGAAGAGGTTCATGAATATCGGGCGCATCGACCATTCACACGATCACGTCCTTACGGGAACCATGTCCGACTAACCCCACCGTGATGGGGAGCTAACCTTCTTTTTTTCCCTTATTGATCTTGTGGAGGAACATGATTGTTACTTGTTTTGTTTTACTGGGAACTTCTGATGGATGCGGCAATGAATGGATACTGAGTAAATTTTTTTATTGTGTCGAATGTTATAGTGTGATGGATTCTAGCAAGATTTCAAGTTGGATATAATTTAGTCTTGGAAGTCTTACGGAATAATTAAAAGAGAAAGAACATTATCACTTTATTCCATTTCGGGTGGATTACTCGATGAATAAATTTGTGGAATTGTATATAAAAGAGATAGTTCGACTGCATGGAGTGCCTATATCTATAGTGTTCAATCGAGACCCAAGGTTTGAGTGGATTGTCTTAACTTATTATAAATCTGCTTTTGACGATTTTAAATTAAAAGTGTATTCCATCAGTGTCACTTAAAAAATTGATTAGTTGTTTAAAATTTGGGAACAAAAGGTAGTACCGATACTTCCTATAGGAGTACTGATACTCTCTGTCCTGGGCAGTTTTATTTTGCAGAGAAAACATTCCCAACGGCTCCAAATCACTTCCAGATGCATCCGCTTTCAGATGTCGATCCAAGTAATTGGTCGAAGTCGACAATTGTCCCAGTATTCAATCTGCACACTACCCTAAACCAGCTTAGTAGTTCGTTGTAAGATGCATCCCATTCGCCATGAAATTTTCGAATAACATTCTGTTTTGCTCTTGAAGAAGCTCGAAAGCATCATCACTTGCTGACTCAACACCTCAAACTTCATCATTAAATTCCCCATAAACCAAAGGAGCAACCACGACCTCAGACCTAGCAGCCACATCATCCAATGTCCCATGCATGAAGGTGTTGAATGAGCATGCACAGTCACGATCCCATATTGCCTGCAGATCCTTTCGAACGAGCCAGGGAACGGTTCTGGACCAAGTTCAATGATGAAAAGGTAAAGATTTTCAGTTTCTGTATGGTTTTTATATAACAAGTCTGGACACACACTTGTAAATAAAGTTGTTTAGACTCAGGTCCTTTGAGGTCAAATGATAAGTTTTAGGGTAGATTACAAATTTAGTAATTAAAGTATCAATTTTG